GATGTGAGAGAAATTCTGGAAATGCCGGGAAAGACAGAGCTGCGCCAGTCTCTTGACTGCAGGACTTCTCAGAGCCTTTGGAGAAGGGCACAGCGTGGGGACTGCCACACTCGAGCCACACGCTGTGGCTCCCGCCTCCCCCTTTGCTCTTCTCCCTCCCAGGCACTCGTTGTCACAGGGCAATGCCAGCGGTTGGCTGCTGAGGAGTCCTGGGCCAGCCCTACGGAGGAGCTGGGCCCCCAGGCTGGCACATTCCTGGCACTGCCTCCTTTAGGCTTGTGCTTGGACAAGTCGCTTGGCCTCTCCACGTCAGAGCCTTAGTCTCCCCATGCCAACAGCGGAGACTCGTTCTGTAAGCAGACGTGTCTCCGTGTGCCAGCAGGGCTGCCAGGGGCTCTGCGGCCCAGCAGGAACCGGGGCGCACCAGCCCCTGGCCTTGAGGGCGGATGCTGTTCTGACCACCCACTGTCCCTCCTGCTCTCTCCAGGTGCAGCTGCGGCTTCGGGCCCTGTCAACCCATTCCAGGTGAACCAGCCCCAGCCGCTGACGCTGAACCAGCTGCGGGGGAGCCCTGTGCTGGGGACCAGCGTGTCCTTCGGGCCTGGCCCAAGTGTGGAGCCCATGGCTGTGGCCTCCATGACCTCCACGGCCTCACACCCAGCTCTAGGGGCCAGCAGTTCCTCCCTGGCACCCTTGGGCCCTGCCACAATGAACATGGTGGGCAGCGTGGGCATCCCCCCAACGGCAGCTCAGGCTACTGGCACGACCAACCCTTTCCTTCTCTAGTGCCCAGGCCTGGGACCCACCCAGAGCAAATGCCCGAGCGCCTGTGCCCAGGACACCAGCCAAGACTCACCGCGGAGCCGTGTCAGGGCCGGGGGTCGGTGCCAAAGGGTCGTCTGTACAGCCCCGTCCTCAGGAGGAGCAGGCGGCGTGCCCACCTTCGGGTGCCTGCTCACCCTGACCCAGCCCGGGCACCTCCCCTCCCACGTGCCGGGTCCTGGCTGGGGGGCCGCCCGGCTCTGAGGGCCGTGGTCGGGGCAGGGGTCCTTGGTGTTGCCCTGCCGTTAGCCTCAGCCCGGGGCCTCGGGGACACGGCCCCGCCCAGGCCCCGGGACGGCGCCCTGTCTTCGCCTCCCCCAGCCCGCGGCTCAGGTGGGGCGGAAGGAAGTGCCGGCTCCACTAGACGCCCACCTTCAGGGAAGGGGTTGTGCATCTTTTTCTTGGACTCGTGTGAGTCAAGCAAACACCTGGGACGGCCCGCGTGCAGGCCGCTAGAGGAGCTTTCAACTGACCTGAGCACCACCCTCCACGCTCGAGGCTTGTGTATGTTTGCACATGTTTTGTTTAGTACAGTCTCATATTTGAGTTTGCAGAATTATCTAACAGTCTTTTTTGGCTAATATTTTTATAACGTGGTTCTTATTTAACTGTCTAGTTTTGATAGAATTTACCAAGTCTGACTGAATTAAGATATTGGCACATGTTATGTTAGTAGTTTAAATTCTCTTATTTATGGTTTTAACTCTATAAGAAAATTTAAATAGGAAGAGACAAAAAAATGCCTTATGGAAAACTAAAGTAAATTCTTTATAGAAAAAAAATTTGAGAGTTTGATTACACTTAAATGATGTTTATTTAAAAAAACACTACAACAACAGAAAACTCTAGCCTCCAGTTGCCTTTTCCTTTAATTCCCTTTTTTGGTGAATTCCCAAACTGATTAACTTTCAGCCTTTTTGGCTAGATGCTAAGAAAGAACTATTTTTCTTACTGATACACCAGCATCAAGAAAGTTAAAGAAAAAATCTAAAGTTTGAATGTGACTCCCAGTGTTTATCAGCTGATTCCTTTCTGTAACTGAGGGCGTGCATGTTGGCGGGGTTTCCGCTCCCGATGGGAATGTGAGATGGAAGAGACATCTGGGACCACTTGTCTGTGATCTCCGGTCTGATACTCGCTCAGGTGAAGACGGGGGG